CCTGGCTGATTTATTGTGCCATTAACTTAGATTCCGAACCTCTGTGTTTATGTTATCACAGACCAGGCAGGCAGGCTCCCAGCTGCACCTGCAGAACAGCTCAAGGAGTGCTTTGTCCTTCCCTGTGTCCTGCAGGACATACTCCCAGCAGCATTAGCCCTGGGGCTTTTCCTGAAGAACATGAGCTGCCCTGGTGCACATGTGGCAGCATGAGGCTCCTTCCCACCCCAGCCACATTGCCAGAGTGGCTCCTGCTCCATTCAATGCCCTGCTGCATCCCTTGGCTTTGCTATCAGTGGCTTTGAGGGGCTCAGCTTCACCATTCTCCTTCCCACTCCTTTCCAAAGAAAATCCTGAGCCGCACTCCATGCAGGAGGGCCACTTACTTAGTAATGTGTGGGAAGGCTGCAGCAAAATATGTCTGTTTAAACCCTTTTCCCTGTCACTGGAGAAGGTTATGCATCCAAACTGGACCCTCCCTCACATGCTTGGGGAAACTGTCAGAGTGAATTAAGCGCTGTAAAAGGCCAGGACATAACTCAGTGCCTTTTAAGTGCCAAGATTTTGTCAGGGAAGGAGGGAGGGAAGTAGCCACTAATATAATTTCCATCAGGAGTACACTCCTTTAATATAATTTGGCCTGGCCGTCCTTTCAAATACAGCCTTCCCTGGCTAGGCTGGTTCAGGGCCATCCTCCTTAATGCCCCAGTAATTACTGATGCAATGAAAGCATGTGCCCAGGCTTTGCTCTGGCCTCTTTGGCCCTGGAGTGACACCAGCTTTCTGCATAGAGCACATTGCTGGCCATGTAACTGGACATATTAATATTGTGGGGGTTTTTCACTATGTTCATTAAAGACACAAATGGCTTATTTGCTTAGGTGCTTAGGCTTTGTTAATTTTCTCTCTTTGGTTAAGGCCTGACAATGCTCTAATGGTCTACAAGTTGTATGGTCTTTTAGCAGATTAATAAACATCAATTACTCTGATCCAAATTCCTGATCTAAGTTTTACATTCACCAATTGTCTGTCCTTTTGCCAGTACCTTATGCTGCCTGTAGCAGAGTTCAATAGACCTTTATTGTGTGCTTTCCTTGCAAGGGCATGGTTTCCAGGGAAGGGGCCCTTGCTTTGCCACATCCATCTCCTTAGGCAAAAGCTATCAGAGAAAAAACTTGAAAGCCTTTTAGAAAGTGCTCTCATTGTCTCACCCTTTGTGAATTAAAATGTCATTTTTCCAGCAGCTCTCTAAACATCTCCTTGCAGGATTATGTGTAGTAGACATAAATACAGCAAAGAAGTACAGCACAGCACTGATTTCCTTCTCTTGGGTTTATTTTGGTCATCTTTTTAAAATACATCTCCTGATAGTATGTGGCAGCCAAGTGTATTGAATTGTCCCCAAATGCAGCTAACTGGGGACTTATTACTGTTGTTCCTCATAAACAGCTGGTGCTCAAGGACAGTTCTAGGAGACCCACAGTTTAATGATAATCACCAATCCCCTCTCTCCTACGAATGTATGGGGCTGAAGTGGGAAATGCATCCTACAGTTTTTAGAAGGTAGGGACCATGACCAAGGGGCTTTGCTGTGACATATGACAGGGCTGCCAGAAACAGAAGATGTTAGAAAAGGGATGATGTGAGAGACTGGAAGAGAAGCTGATGAAACCCAGCAGAGCAGCAAAGGCATTGCAGAGTTTTCAGGAAGCTACAAAGGATATGAACTTTGGTATCTTTAGAGGAAATAAGAAGAAAGAAGGGGATGAGGTGCACAGTCAGATTTATGGGCAAAGACAGCCTTGACAGCTACAATTTTGGACAATTTGAAGGGAAGGGAGAAACTATGTAGGCATTTGGGTGCCAGAGAGGTAAGTGTCACAGAAGCTGAGTTTTTAGAAAGAACAGGTGGAAAATAGACTCACTTATTCTCTGTCTGTCAATACACTTCCTTTTCCCCCGGGGAGATGCATGGATGCCCTTCCCTGGAACTCCCTGTTATACAAGGAAGCCTTGGGACAATAGACTCCCAGGTTGCTACTGCAAGGCAGGACTCTCTTCTGGCCTGGGTGCCAGTTTCCAGGAGTGTCCAAATCCCAGGTGTCAAAATCACCATTCCCATTGTCCATCAGCACCCGAGGCTGTTGATTTTTATTTCACAGCCATCAGCTCAGTCTCTGATAGAAAGTTACAAAGCAGCCAGTAAATACTTTTTCAGGTAGCAGGAGGAGATAACCCTCTAACCCTTATTAAAAACAAGTACATTGCAAATTCCAATCAGAATCTATGGAAGTGAAGCTGCTTTGCCTATGGTGTGTTGCAGGGGTCAGTCTGGGGATGAGGCAGGGGCAAGCCCAGGAGCAGGGATGCACAGTCACACTCCCAGGCTGCACGCACGTCACTGTGCCCACACAGAACTGGATCCCACGGCAGGCAGGGAGAGGCAGCAGGCATGGGAAAAGAGGTGTTTTTCCCTCCCCAGCATCTTAAACTAGGTAATTATATTTAAAAACCATGCTGTTAAACCCAAAACTAAAGAAGTGAAAGTAAGGACGTAGGGGAACTAAGGTAGCATGATTTATTGGCATGAGCTGCTAATATACGCAATAGGCAATAATATATATTTAATCATATATTAAGTGCAAGCCAGATTTTTTGTATACATCAATACAGTGCATGGCATAATGCTTTGTACTTGCCTAGAGTTGCGTACTAATCATTAGAAAACTCTCCCGCAAGGGTATGCTTTATACAAAAGTCCAGTGAACTGAAATATTCCAATTAATTTTTGCACCAGTCTTGGCACAAAGTTTTAAGTTCCCAAGCTCAGAGAAGGAGAGAAGACAATTTGCAGCAGACCAGGCATAACGCAGCTGAAGAATACCCAACTGATGATAAATCAGGTATGCCAGTAGTGAGGGCAAAGGATTTTGTTTGCAGCATTTTTAATCATATATACTTTACGTCCTCCCAGGTGTCTTTCTCATGCTTTATCTTCTGAGGGGAGTAAGACTGTAATGGTAGTATGAAATTTTTTTGTTTGTTTTCTTATATTTTACATTGCTTTGTCCACTTAAAATCCATGCTGTGCAAGTGTTCCCAGACTAACCAGGCTGATAGGCCCCTTTCTGAACATGAGCAGCAGTAAAACCCAGTTTTACCTGGGTGATCACATCTCCTGTTTACATATTCTATGATCCATGCACTTAGCTTTGCTATTTCAATGTCCTTTGGAGGTAGGAGCTTTTAATGAACAACAATCCAACTGAAAAGCCACCAGAATTGCCAACTTCACAGAGACTCCAGCCTTCTGGGGAGTTGAGATTAACTCCTTGGAGAAGGTGAGAAGTTCAGATGGAGTGTCTCCACCCCAGGATGGTAACTCCAGCAGATTCTGCCAGAGGTTCAGCTGGAGGGATGGCCGGCAGGATGTGCTGCTGAGAGTGTGTTTGTCCTCAAGAGCATCCCAGCAACCAAAACCGGCTCCTCACGGTGTGATGCCACTGGAACCTGCTGCTTGCACTAGCACAGGAAATTAAAAAGCAGCTGTACTAGTGCCCAAATTTCCAGAGTTTATGGCAATTTTCTTGTCCCAGTGGTTCCTGGACCTTTTATTAAGACCTCAGTTAAGGAAAAAAAAAAATTTTAACTGTTTAACTGGGCTACAAATACTGGTGGCTTGGCTTCATAGCAACATAAATAGCCCAGGTAAATGATAGTCATGAAGAGTACACAAATTTTCATTGCTAATTGGCGATTTCCAGTATCACTTTGTACATGTATAGTTAATGTCTTCTAGGTGAGTGATAAAAGTTGCATGTGTTTCTTGATTGCTTTAATGAATTACCATTATAACACAACATCTACCTTTATTTAACCTCTACAGAAGTGCCAGTGTCCATGCAGCTGTTGCAGTGATGTCACTGGCACAGATAATTCACATATTTCACACAGTCCTGTACAACATTTACCACAACGCAGGAAAGAGTGGCTTGTATGAAAATAATGCCTAGTTTTAAGGCTTTTAGAGCTGAATTTTGCACATCTTGGCTTCTTTTTCTGTTATAGACTCTTTTTCATGTAACATTTAATTTGCTTTCCGTGTGAAATTTGCTCTTTACTAGTTGCTAATAAATAAGTGTATCATTACCTTGACTCCAGTCAGAGCTGATACAGTTGAGAGACCTTCCCAAAAACCAAAAACCCACGTGTACATTGCACTGCATGAGCGACCATCCACGAACGCGCTGCTCCGCGGTCTGATTTACGGCGATACAAAAGTGAGCACACACACTGGGCACACGGTGGTGGAAACAGCCAGTGGCAGAAGGGGAGGGAGCACAGGGCATAACTGGGAATTGAGTGATGATGGCTGGCTGGACAAGGGGTTGCAAATGCAAAGACCTTCCGGTGTAGACACCAGAGAGAAAATAATGTGTACATGGCTGTGGTTTCAGGCAGGGAACTGATACTGTCCCAGCCTCTTGGGGTCAGGCAGAGCCCAGCCAGCTCAGCACAGAGGAGAAAAATACAGAAATATGTTCTTTCTTTATCTTCCCTCCTTGTCTGATTTTCTCCTGGGAGAGAACTTCTTGGCTATTTCACAGTTTATTTGTCCAGTTTGTCCTTTTGTGGTGTGTTTTGCTGGTCTCTTGTGCCTGCTTGTAGTGCACAGACACACACAAGACAACGCCTTCGCCTGAAGGTGATGTTAACCAGCTTATTTGACTGATTTGCTGATTCTGAAAGAACTTTAACTCCTTTGACCAATGAAGGAGCATTGGTAACCTTACAGTTGCTGAAGTAATTTCTTGAGGATACAACACTTGCTAAGTTCACATTGTAATAAAAGAGAAAGTCCCTCAAAACACTGCATCCAAGATATGCTTTGTGTTTATGCAGAGAAGAGTTAAAGACAAAACCCCTGAAGAGATTATATTTGGGTTTAACAGTGCTAAGTCGAGGTAATTGTTATATGACATTCCTGGTTAATGAAACTCAGCTTCCAGCAGTTTAATGTTGCTTTTGTGATGGAGAGCAAGTTGCCATCTGCAGTCTCATAGAAGTTTCACTGGCACACACTGTTTGACATTTATTTCTGTATTAAGACAGGATGCAGTGGTCCTATTTTTCCCTATCTGACAAATTTATATTAAAAAAAAATATCAGAATGGCCATCAGCAGCATGATGTGTCTTTGTTTTCCCAGAGGTGGGTGGGTTTTTTTTTGTCCCAGTCCTTCTTGGATAGGTGATAGTGTAGCACCTAGCACCCGCTACCTGTGGGATGCTACCCACCTCTGCTCCCCTCATGTGAAGTACCGACACTGTGTGGAGTCAATGTAGCAGTAAGAAGTGCAGCGCAATTTTCCGTAAGACCTAGAACAAAAGAGAATATGTCAGTTCCAAAGCATGGTATGGTTCACTTACACGGTTCCTGGATGTAACTCTCCGTAGGAGTGAAGAACCTCAGAATATGCATATGCAGCAACATATGGGAAACAAAATAGGAGGGCAATTTTCATCAGTGCTTGACTGTGTTCTCCTCTGTCAGCAAAACAGGTGTCCAGGAGAAACTGTGAGTGAGGACTTAACTCCCAGTAATGTCAATGAAAAAAATAAAATCCCTGTTGGCATCAGGACTAGAGCATTACATGGGGGTGGATGCAAAAGGCCCTGGTGCTCACCCACAGGAGCTGTGGAACAAAATATCTGAGGCTCTGAGTTAAGTGTGTTTCCAGTTACTCCCAATAGTTTCAGCAGGCATGACTGTGCCTGTCCTTTAACTTCTTTTTCATGTACTTGAAATAATAATTTCCCATATTAGAAATAATTTTTAAAAGAGTAATTGAAGAATCCTTGCAAAATAAGAAACAACAGAGATTTTGTCTTTCTACTGACTTAAACTGAGCAGTGACTCTACCTACGGAAGACCTGAATTTAATAAGAATTTAAATGAGTTTTTATTGCTGGAATGTCTAAGTGAATAACCCATCCACAACATCAAGCTATAGACTAAGCAGCTTTAAAACTACATCCTAGGATAACCCGCGTTCTCAGACTAACACAAAATCTGAAGAGAAGGTGTGTGAAACAGGAGGAGGGATCTGTGGGCTGGAAAGAGTGAAAAATGGGAAAATCAGGTGCAGCAGAGCTCTTGGAGGAAAGGTTATTTCGGGGTAAAACTCCCATGGGAGTGTCATACATACTCAGCCCACTTTCTCATGAGTCACAGCTTTTTCTTTAGTTTGGCAGATAATTTGCAGACTCCACACAAAAATAAAATATCGCAGTTGCTCTTCACAACTTGAATATACAAGCAAAGTGAAATTTATAAAGTTTTCCTGAAGCTTTTATGGTGCTATGTTGGGCACCAAATTTCAGACTCTTAGAAGGGAATAGTTTTCACAGTAAAGAACAACTCCATGCTGTCTGAAGATGAGGTCTCTGTAAAATATTTCAGTTTTGTCAGGTTGACTGGTCTGGATTTTAGTAATCTCTTATACCAAAAGTGCTCCAACAATTACAGCGGAAGGATTAGCGCAGCACTAGATTTACAAAGACATCCTGTGGTTTATTATTCCTGTCAATTAGCACATTATTGTTCCCTGAATGATGAGGGCTCTGCATGTAATTTAATTTGCAAATTAAATGTTTCCTGTTAGCCAGTAACAATACCTGACAGCTTAATAGAGGTGCTGCTGTTGGAGGCAAAACGCTGACCAGAGGAAGCTGCCTAAACAAAGGCAGAGAAGACAAATCAACAGTAAACAGATGTTTTAAATGAACGACTTTGCTCCGCAGATGCATGGCTTTGCATCTGCCGGTGAATTAATTTCCTGCACCTTGGAAAAGCTGGCAGATTGATTCAGAAGAAAATACACCCCTAAAGTACCCATTAATGGGAAGGGCAGCAAGAGGTCGGTACAAGCCTGTGGTTTGGATGTTGTATGGTTTTTTTTTTTTTTTCCTTCAGTGTGATCATCTTTCATACTCATCTTACATTATGGCTGGACATTAATGTGACCACATAAGGAAACCTTGGCAAGAAATGGGCAAACATAGGTGTATGCAACCTTCATTCATTTTGTACAGTAAGAGGCATGTACTTCTTACTGTGAAATGAGATTTAGCCCTTAATGATATACAAAATAATTTTATATTTTTCTTCCCTGCTACTTGCAGTGGTTCCACTGGAATAAGGTTTAAGTGGGTGAAACTCCTCTGTTTTAAAACTGGAAAAGAGAAAAAAGAAAGGAAAAATACAAAACCCCCTTCCATAAACAAAGAAACAAAAACAACAACAACAACAACAAAAAAAAAACCAACAAAACAAAGTGAAGACTTCCTCTTACATACCCAGGAAGGTATGTTCTACATGTCAAATATCCAAAATCCATCCCATCACAGTCTTCAACCCCCTCGTGCTTGTAACCATCTCCACAGTAAGCACGGCGGCACCCTAGTGAAAAAAAGAAATAAATACCTTCCAGGCACTTCACAGGTAAAAGAAACAGGTCAAGTAAGTGGAAGTAGCTTTTTAAGGGTTAAGTATAAAGCAAGATATTTTGGGGAAGGCATTCTGTAAGGATTGTCTTAGGAGGAGCAGTACTCTTCACTACAAAGAACGTACTTTTTAAGCCTAATTTCAGTGATGAAGGGAAAGAATGGATAAATACTAAAAACAATTACTACAGAATCACTAATTACAATAGCACTTATTCAAAACTTATTATTGCCATAGATAATTATCATCAAAACAAGTTCAGGGAAATAGAAAATAGAGTTAACATAAATGATTTGGGGAAGTCACAATCTCAAAAAAGTACTCTTAGGTGGTTAACTGGTTTGAAATTCCCAGCCTAGACCTTTACCCAATTCTGCACAATATCTATGTTTGTCTGCTATGAGTTTCCACATATGAACGGAATTATGCAGCCTGTCTATAAAAAATAAAATATATAAAGGTTGCCAAAATCATGTTTTTCCCACTGTTGACTCTACTGACTTGAGCGTGAGTGGGATTTGTCACATTTTTCATGGTGACTGACATGTAGGCTGCAGGAATTTGTGGGTTTGTTTGCCATTTTAGCAATTGGACTTTGATTTTGGTATCTTTAGTATATTGAGAATTACTTTCTAACATGAACAAATTCATTTAGTTAACATCCCTTTGACGTCTTCTGGGAGAATCTATCGGTGTAAGCAGACACTCAGGAACAGGGAGTTTATAAGAGGCTAAAGTGGGTTATTTACAAATAGAAATGAGTAATTAATTGCACCAAGGATGTGTTTGTCAGAAATTGATGCTTCTAAGACCAACAAGCCTTTTTACAACAAAATCCATTTAACATTCAGTTAGCCCTTTCCTTTTGGTTCAATTACAGAATAAGAATGATGACAATGTGATCATTTCTAAATAACTCAATGTTGGATCACATCAGTGTCAGAAATCTGTGTATTGCAAGGCCTCCATTGAGGTTTTGCCCAAAGCATAGCGCAGGTAACACAATGTGCCCTCAGACGCAGAGTGCACAATTTTGAAGGCACTAGGACTAATGAACACTATCCTGCCACATGCCTGTTCCCCACAGCTGATTGCAAATTCTAATTTAATTGTTTAGTCATGTCTGGAAACAGGAGAGATTCTGCTGTCTCTCTAGAGTACTCTGCAGTCAGGCAAGCTTAGCAGGGCTTTTATTTATATGTCTCCCTAGACCTGTTGAGACAGAATTCCCTTTGAAATCTCTTTACTGTTGACATTGATTGGCTGGGGCTCTAAGTCATAAGGGGAAGGGTGGTGATGGACAGGTGGATGGAGAAACTTGCATAGGGCATGTCTGCATACACCCCATTCTCAAAGTCAGGCTGAAAAATTGAGTGATATATAAACAAAAAATTGCATTTTTCAGTGTTGGGTGATACTGCTCTGAAATGTGAAGAAGCATCGCTTTGCTGGGAACAACAGAGCACCAAACCTACTATGTGGAAATTGTGTAGGGCTCTGCTCTAGGGAAGGATTCAAGATGTAAAAGTAACTGAGAGGGGGAAGTGAAGGCTACCACAGCTGTTCAAATGCTTACATGGTCTTTGCTATCCACAATCAGCAAAATGGAAGGAAGATGGAGTAGACATTAATTAAATGTTATGTAAACCTGATAGGGAAGGTAGTGGGCCAACACCTTCCCTATGTAAGTGAATAACAAAATCCAAAGTGGTGCTTCTGGACTCAGGATCTATTTTGTCACAAGAAACAGTGTCTATCCCAAGGGCTTCAGTGTCTATCCCAAGGGCTGTGCTGCACTGCAAAGGTGTGCTACATCTTTTAGAGAGAGCTGGCAGCCCCCAGGAAAGGTGTGTGTGTAAACCAGCTGCTGGATGGCCCCTGAAATGCAGTGTCTCTGATTCAGCGAGGATGCAGAGAAGTGCTGTTGTCATCTCTGTCCTGTGCTGGTGTGTGCCATCCACATGCATGGAAGCCTCAGTTTTCACCCTGAGGCCATCCTGCCTCCCTTTCCCCAGACCTGCCCTTGATCCACAACCCACACAAGCTCTCCTACACACAAGCAGTATGCCCTGTGGTAGAACTAATGCACCTTCCCTGGGAGGAAGAAGCCCCTCCTGCTGTGCTGTGACTTACTTATACAGTCATCAGTCACAACCGCATTGCCGTCGTCGCACTCCTCCCCATCCTGCACGACGCCATCTCCACAGGTACCCCCATCCTCGAAGCGGTAATCCACAGGGTACAAAGGGGTGAGCTGGCCAGGCAAACACACAGTGGTTACTGAACCAGACCAGCAGCAGCCTGGATAGCAAGCAGAGGATAAGGGCTCTGGGGGACAGGTCCCACAAGCAGGTTTTTATGTCTTGTTATTTGTTGGTCAGAGGGTTTATACAGAGTCTGATCCGAAGTCCAGTAGACACAAGAAGGATCCTGTTGCTAATTTCAGCAGGACTTATCTTAGCTCCTTGAAGCAATAAGGAGATAGTGAACTTGGTTTGCAGGGTTTTAGTTCTGCAACTCTGTACCCTGGTGAGTTTTGCCTTATTTTGTATTAAATAAAAACCCTTTTTACCACCATAATTCCCTGAACTCTGCTCCAGTTTGTTCACCAGTGGTTCACAGGGAGGTTAGCAAAACCTGCAACACTGCTGAGTTAATTCCTCAGTAATTAAAACTCCTGTGAACAAAATTCACAGAATTATATAGTTGTGGCAGTGTTAAAAAATGAGCCTTCCCCCATTTGCTTAACTGATTCAGTCTGACACCTTAAGTACAGAAATATGTTCGGTATTTCAAAGTGAAACATACACTCATGGGTTTTCTAACACCACAGTCATATTTTCACCTGGACTGGGAGCCATCCAAAGGTATCCTTGAAATACAAAGATCTCTGATCTCTTCTAAATGCTAATGCGTTTTCAGTGTTTAACCGGTCCAATTCTTCTTGATTATTCACCACAAAAATCTGGGGCACAGAAAAAGAGGTGAGAGACAACCTTCTCAAGAAATTATTTGGATTATCACAGAATCTAGTTTGGCATTTGTACCTTCAAATAGGTATACAGGAAAATATTTCAGTTGTTTTCAGGAAGAGAAGAGGTAAGAACCTATAGCAATGGAAAGAATGGTATTTCCTGGGCCCCTATTTTGAAATGTACATCCTCAAGTAAAAATTCTACAAATACTGGTCCACAATCACTGCTGAGAAGAACTTTCTTACGCTCAAATGGTTTGATGCTGAAATCCAAATGGGCATATGTGCTTTTTGTGGATTGATGATAATTTTTTAGGTATGTTTGTGGCTACAAAATAAATCATGCATGGCTCAATACAACCTTCACTTAGCTTTTACCTCTTTGTGCTTTCTTTAGATTTAACTGGCACTAAAATGCATATTTCTTTATATGCATATACTGTGGTCTAAAGCCAAGTCTTCAATTACACTGGAAAAAATATAGTTCAAAATAGAAAAAATAAAACAAGCTGCTCTCTTACCCTTTTCTTTAATGTCTCAGTCACTGGAATTGGATGTAAAAAGCATTAGGAAATAATCTCTTCCTTCAGCAGCTTAATCAATTTAATTTTTGTAGGATTCAAGCCATTTTTAAATTAAGAAAAAGCAAATGGAGTGCTTCTGGACAAAATAGATTTAGGTTTGAGTCTGATTCTCACCAGCATAAACAGAATTGGCTCTTTTAGAAACAAGTTACCTTGAAATTTTTACATAGCAGAACATTCCCATAAACCTGGACAAAGGCCAATTTCATTAAAGAAGTATTGAATAAAAATGCCTTCAGCTTGAATGAAAGGAAGAAACAAATAGGAAGCCAGCATAGAACTGATTCTGTAACTGCATTCAGGAGCTCAGGGCCCAGACCCAGAGCTCCAGTTTCTCTTGAAATCAATAGCAAAACGGTGCTGTCTCAAACCATTACAGATATCAACCTTTAAAATTGCACAAGATTTAAAAATTGAATGAATCTAAGAAAAACAGCACTTTGCTTCCCAGCCTCTGCCCTCCTCTGGAGGAGCTGCTGGGTGCATGGGTGATGGCCCTGAGGATGTTCTGCATTGGCAAACTGCAGGGCCAGGGCAGAGAGCACCATCTCTGGATCTTTTCCATGTGCAGCTACAGAACCCTGAGAAGAGCTTTCAAGTGGTCCAAGATAGGTTTCAAAGCTGCTACATGGGGATCTGAACAGAATAAACAATAATGATGATTAAGCTCTAGTTTAATTTAAAGTGTTCTTTACACTGGAGGAAATAAAACAAATGGGGTGGGCAGGAAAACAGGGAATGTTGCTCTGGAAGTGCCTCATTTCCAGAGCTAAGCCTTGTCTTTTTGCCATCCCACATTCTTGGCAACAAAATGGCACCTGGGGGCTCATAGTGATAGTGTATGGTATTTTAGATATTTACTCCCTCATTACTATCTTTTAAGATCTGATAGGAAACTATGCCTAATGGAGAAGGAGGGTAATAAGATCTATACATTATATTGAAAACCTTAAAGATTCTCCTATGAGTTCTCCAGGCTGCAAAGTACATGATGATTGTTTTGCATGCAATGTAATGTGATATGCACCTTTATTTCAGCACATTAATCTCTCACCATTATGTTTTTAAAACAACAGGAGGGTTTTTTCTAATGCAACACAGCCAGGGATGAGCGAGCAGCTGGCACAGCTGACAAGACTTGAAACACACTTGTGCAAAAGGCTGAGCTCAGTGACTCAGTTTAATGAGTGTGTTGTGTGTCCCTTCCTCACACTGAGACAGCTTTCTGACAGTGTAACAGGTGAGGGTTTAAAAAAACTAATTGCTGCTCTTTGTTATTCAAAGACAACCAGACACAGCACCATTTCCACTCGCAGGGGTGGAGTGGCTGAGCTCTGCTGGCACGCAGCAGCAAGGGAACATCTTCATCTCTAAGTGCTACACTGCACAGAGTAATGAGGCAGGGCCCAGCAGAAGGAGAAGGACAGAAATAGTAGTTATAAAGCCCAAAGAAATCAGTGATGAAAAATACTAGGCCACATTTCACCAGTGCCTTGTCCTTTAAAGTATTTTGTCCAATTTTCTCATAAAAATGCTTTCAAGGCTAGAGATGGAAATCAGCTGTATAATGTGTATGTCTGCAGACTGGAGCCCAGACACCTGATTCTCACAGTTTGTGGAAACTCTTTTTATCGAGGGTCTGTGCTCTGGGAGAGCTCTATTGCACATGTGAAATGCTTGATCCCAATATTCAATTCTACAATCACTGTCTTAAAAAGCCCCAAACAAGAAAGGTATACTTACTTTACTGACCAATCTGAAATTTTGATTTCATTAAATAAAAAAGACAGATCATATATGTACAGTAGTAGATGAAAGAGAGCACCCTTAGGCTTGAAAAATATTTCCATACATGTGCTACCTCACTGATGTTTTAGAACAGCTGCATTTCAGCATATCAATCACACAACAAGTTATGAGACTGAACTCTTTTGCACCTCTGGATCTCAGAGGCTTTGGGTACTAGAAATCATACATTGCCTATATATTTTCCTATTAAACAAAAAATATTAGTGGGTACAACAATTCTCATAATAAAAGCACTTCAGAACTGCTCACATCCTCTCCCAGAAAACCTGCTTACCGCGGGAACTTTTGGGTAGCTGTGTCCAAACACAGATTGCTCATATGATGGGTTACTCATCTGCTGTGGGGTTCTGCAGAGACATCTCCCTGGAGGCCCTGGAAGTCCTCTTTCTCCTTTTGGTCCTATTGCAAATTGCCCTAGGAAGCAGAGTAACAGCTTGCCTTGTTATGAGGTTACTACACACTATACACACACAGCCTTAGTTGGGAAAAGTACAGGTCAGGTGGATATATGCATTTACCCAAGTTTTCAGATAGGCACAGCTCCCACCAAATCCACTGGGAATTGAAGGGAGACACTATTTCCATTACTCCAGGAGAAAGATGCCATTTTTTTACCACGGTCATATTATTTCAGATCACCTTCTGAATTTTTCTACCAGTTTTACAGAGAAAGAGAGAGATGATTTGCTTAGAATAAATGTCAGCCTGTTTGAAGCTACAGAAATTCAGGATGGGATGAACACACAGATCACTCTACAGTGCCTATGCACCAAGTTTTGTAGAGTCAGTCTCTATATATGTCCACAACACATTGGATTTGTGCCTTTGTACAACCACTTGAGCAATGCTGTTTCACAGGTTTCTATACAGCAAAAACCCAACTAAAATACAGGAACTTTTTAATGTTTTAATTAAACATTTATTTAAAAAATACTGCTTTTTGACTTTCAGACTTTGGCAAGGATGCACTGCTCTGCAGATTTAGATTAGAAGCCAATATGGTCATACTGCAAGCAGCTGCATCATTACAGAAATGTCTTTTAGGATCAGAATTTATATTCTAGAGGAAAAAGATAAATAACCCTGACACATAAACTTTCTGTGGATGGATAAAGCCTTGAAAAAGTAATTTCAAGGTCCTGGCAGCCTTCCCATCAGCATGGTGAAAATTCTGTGTTCTGAAAGCTTCCAGATAATTTACCCAAGCACAGACGCTTCTTAATGGGAGATGTGAGATATATGAAGATTCTGAAGCTGTGCCCAGCTTTACAGATGTTCCATTTCCACACCACCACAAGAAGAGACCTTGTGTCTACTAATGCAAGCAAGGGAAGGAAAAGGGAAAGCAAAATGGAAGGGGACATTGTGTGTTGTGGGTTATGTATTGTCCTTCATGTCCATGTTTGGACTCAGAAGCTGACCAGAGTTCATGTGCATGCACACCTCTGAGGATGTACAATTATGTTATTACAAGGTTTTTTCTCATAATTTCTACAACACACACAATTGCAGTGAGCATAGATCTCAAGCATTTAATTGTATAGACAGTTTTTTCCACTTCTCTTTTTTTCCTCCGACTCCTATCCCTTTCCATTCTCTTCCCTTTTTTCCTTAGTGACACTGTAACTCGAATCTCATCATTTTTCCCTTGCAGAGCTGCACAGGGTGAACATGTTCTGTCTGATTAGAAATCACAGTTTTTCACTGTAAGGCAGGATATCTGGAGAGGCAGACCTTTGATGATGGAGATTACCTAGTCTCTCCAAGGCTGCCAGATGTCTTTCCATCATTCCTATCTACAAAAATCCCACAGGGACCACATAGGATTTAGTTTTGGTTTTATTTGAAACACCAGAAGCCATAAAGCAGGCATTAAAGTAAGGTCCTGATAATGGACAAGGATGACATGACCTGCCTCCAGGAGAAATCCTTTCCTTGCCATGGATGGAGAAGCAAAGAAAGCCCTGCAGCACTCCGTGCAGAGGAGCTGTGTGTGTCTGGCGGGTCAGGAGGGGCTGGGAGCAGGGACACTCCTGGGGAGGTCACCCCATGTTCGGCTTACCTAGTCCTGATGGTCCAGGGGGGCCCGGCTGGCCAACAGGGCCAGGCCTTCCAGGTGGGCCCATGACACCCGCCGGTCCAATGTCACCCTTGAGGCCCTAGAAGAGAAGTGACATCCATTTCTGGGCTAAGCTATTAGTAACAAACAACCTCTTCCAGGCAGCACTGGTTTCCCATTTAAGCCAGCAGGACATTTGCCAGAAGAAACATGAGCTTCATGGACACCACCCCAGGGAACAGGGGCTCTCCTCTCCAGAAAGGTGTGCCCAGGCAGGACTTCTGCTCCCACATGGGAATGGTCACAGGGACCTGCCCTGTGAGGAGTCAGAAATCATCCTGCTCTGGCTTCAGTCATTTGGTAGCCTTTCTTTTAGGATGCCTTTTTAACCCCTGTAGCTCTCTAGAAGTGAGTGCCACCAAGAAAGAAAGGGGGAAATCACTGAGGAGTTGTCAAGGGCTTCCACAGTGACATTTCCCAATCTTAGGGTGCAGCCTTTCAGAAGCTCACTAATGACATTGATGCTCACACTATTTTCAGAATGTTTGAGGTGCCTGGATTTCTGTATCTCCTTGACTTTCACCATGGGTGATAACAAATCATCACAAGCCAAGCAAGGGCTCAGCCTCACAAGTGCAGCTTAATATTTAGCAACACCATGCTGAGAAATGGTGTCCTCTGGCAGCAGCAGTAAATGCTGAAAAATTACCTGTGGGAGAGGGGCTTACACACAGTTAACATACAGTAGCTAATATTCCCTAACATCAGCCATAATTTGCCTCATGGGAGCTTGTTTCTGCAGCCATACCCTAAGGCACTTGGAAGTTTCAACCTAGAACTTTTTGGCATCTTCTCATTTTTTGCTCCTGAATTTAATACTGTGACACTTATTAAAAATAACTATATTTACCTTCCTGCTCATATACTCTCCAAGGCTTGGATTTCTCAGCTTTATATTTCAGAAGTGTATTACACAGCTTAAAGTTTAAATATCTGACTTGATTTTTATGTAACAGCAAACATTATCTAGGATCATAAAAATTATGTGTGCTATGGAAGTTTTCTTTTAATGAAAAAGGAGATTATTTCCTTGAAGATGGTGTAATTCCAAGTTAATGTGCGTTCAGAATCATGCAATGAATGGTTGCACGTCTAATTTAAGAGTAGCAAATCATATATATTAATATATGCTGAAACAATTGTTGTTATATAATATATTATATCTCATGGATATGTTTGAATGTCACCTGCACCATTTCAGCAGAGGAAGGCTGATTTTGCCATGGTCTATAAAGAACTAATTGAATATTTGTTTTGTTTAATCCTATTAGGTAAGCTCTGAGCCATAAAAATATTTCAGGATTTATGTGAATGTCAGTGATACTGATCTCTAATTACTTCTTACATTATGCAACACAGAACTAGCGGACCAGGATTTTGTAGCCCCAAAGAAGACTGTGGGAAATCTCCTTCCTCCACACAACAGCAAGTTGACAGTGGCAAGGTGGTGCCAGTCAGACACGTACTGTCTGAAAACAAGCTATTTTCTGTGTTCCTTTCTTGGAGGGATGATTGCTTAATACCCTCCTGCTTAGCACTGATGGATTAAATAATAATGACAAGGCTTGATGTTCAATGTTTTTGCCTTGTTTATCTTTCACATGTGCACACAGCACTGGGAAAAGCTTTTCCCATTGGCAATATTTGTGTTTATGCCCTTTCTTCCAAACTAGCATTACCTAAAGCCCTAAGTCATGCCTCCTTCTCAAGACTGAAACCCTAAACTTGGGTTTTCTTGGGGTCAGTTCCCAAGTTATAAAGCTTTGGGTGCTCTATCTCGGTCAGCTGTGTAAGGCTGTGACTTGTGACTCCCAGCTCCTGGCCACGTTTCAGGAAGAGCCTGTCCCAGAGGCAGGGAGACGTGAAGAAGTCAGTGAGCTAATCAAGACATATCTCGAAATGGAAGTGGAAGTGACACCTGCTTAATTTAGCTGCTTTTATTTAGGCATGTCAGTTGGATCAAGAGACAGGAAATGGCCTCATGCTGGTGGAAACTATCCTCTCAGCTGAACAAACAGCCTGACAACTACAGCACTTAAAGGTGGCACTCAGACCCACAGAACCTCAAAATGCTACTCCCCAGTTTTTTCAAAGGATTAGAAAAGAAGAAAGGAAATAGCAGGTTCACCAGTTACAGAGGGAAAGCCTTTTTCATGATGAATCAATGCTAAGATTGCTTCCAGGGCACCAGAAAGGTGTTTGTGTACTGAGCCTTGGGACTGGAAACACCAATCTAGAGGCAGACTATAGGTCTTTTAGTCACGCTCATTGTTGTCTTAAATTATGACATGCTTATGTCACCACTTTTTTATTAAGCCACTGTGTAAGATGACAAAATGTCTAAGGCCAAATAAGGAGTACATGGTGTTCAAGTTGATCTGCTGGCACTGCATCTTCCCTTGTCTTATGCTGTGGAAAGATATCCCACAACACATAGGCAGGACAGATGAACAGGGTTTGCAAAACAAAAAACAAACAAACAAAAAAGCAATCCCCTCTAAACCAGCAAAGAGCACACACCAGCTTTTAAAACCTGACAAATCTAGGACAAAAAAAAAAATATTTCTTATGGGTCATCTAGGAGACTTATATTGCTCATACTTCCCTTCCTTGAGGATCTATTACTTCCTCCCTAACACCCAACTTTTCTTTTTTCCCACATTGGCTACTTTATCACTTCAGATATTACCTGTTCTCATCAGAGCAACAGTGAAGCAAGGATATGCCTCTCCTTGCCATGCTGGGTATGACAAGACTGCAAATAAACTACTTCCTGCTAATAATTACTTCTAGCTAAGCTCCTACCACTGAAATGCTGTATTGGTGGAGTCAGTGTCCAATTTACACACAATTCCAAGTCTTTACAATTCACCTGAAACTCTGAAAATGTAGCTCTGCTAGCATAATTTTGAGCTCTCCTGCTGTCAGGTGGGGCTGGGACCATAGCTCTGTGTTGCTTAGGATTCAAAGGAAGCCTTCAAGATCTGCTTGAAATGTGTTAAATGAGTTAATTACCAACCCAGGATAAAGACAACTTTTCCCATGCTGCCTGGGCAGGCAGCTGAATGCTGCAGACAAGACTCCAGCCCTAAAGCTGAGGCTTTAACTCCTGTGTAGCCTGTGCATGCCTGGGAGGTGTTCTAGCACTTCTCTCCACTCCCTGTGCAACACAGTGCATGGTACAAGAGCTTAGACCACACAATCACACAGATGCCATGAGTCAGAGGAAGAGGAAACACCATGCTCCTACTTGTTTGCCTCGTTTTCCAGGTCTTCCTATAGGTCCTCTGTGTCCTGGTACTCCAGACTGTCCCTTGGGACCCATCTCTCCCTTGGTGGTTGCAGAGGGAAGGAAGAAGGAGTTAGGTACATGGTTTTACCTGCCTCGAGCAAGACAGATGCACATGGTTTTCATTCACATGATTCCTCTAGATAATGCTGGCACCGTTTCATTCTTAGAAATCCAAAATTATAATAAAATAGCTTAAGACAAATGTAAAGTAAAAAGGAGCTCATACAATTTACCCACATACCCCAGAAAAATCCTTTCCTAAGGAAGAGGCCACGTGAGATCAGAAACTCAGAGACTTGGAGAGGTCAAGGCTGGGAAAGCTCTCTGACCCCTTTGCAATATCTTGCTTTACTGTTAAGATGCACATGTGATGAAAATACTTAGGGAAAGCAAGGTGAATTCACTCTTCTTCTAATCTCTCTAGAAGCAACTATTAATTCCTTTTCTAATTTTAGAGGCATGGTTTGATTATATAATGAAATGATCCACCTTTAAGTTTTCCATAAACCAGCACCTGAATTTTCATTGTTTTTCAGGTACAGAATAATGATTACTTAAAAACTGCTCAAGGTAATCACTGCTATATGCAGTAGTGCCATTGTTTCAGAGTATTAAGAAGGAACTATTTATTAGCTTCAAGTGAGTAAAACCTTAGCAATTAGGGCAGTTAAAGAGGAGGAAGCTTATGAATAAAGAAACAATCTGGGGGAAAACCAGGAACTACACCAAAGAGCTTAATCTGAGTTTTCTCTTAAACTAAAAAGCCTAAAGAATTTGATCAAGTCAGCAATGCTGGTTACTGAGTCAAGGAAGATCTTTAATGTCTTACACCATCTCAGAAATCCCTGAATCCACTCATTGACTCTGTCTCAGCATTTAACACAGCTCCCCAACATATCATGCCCACTTACTTTTTGTCCCAGCATTCCAGGAAAGCCTATTTCTCCCTACAGAGTCAAAGAAGAAAAATAATCAGAAAATGTGTAGTGATCTTTGACAAAGCAGGACCTTCCTTGGAAGGAAAAAAATGCCATGTGTGGCTATCAGTTAAAAACCCCTGCACTGACTCAGGTAATGCAGTAGATGGAGATTTATAAGCAAAACTTTAAAGCTTCTTGTATGGGGCCATTACTCCTCTATCTGATCCTCTGCTGCCAGTTTCTGCTTCTCTGGCAAAATCATCCCGATTGTTCTCTTGTCTGCAGGCAGCTCCGCTACCTGGACAACTCCCAAAGCCTGCCACTGGGAAAGGCATCTCTCCATTTGCACCAAAAGCAGTTTACTTTTCCTTTTTTAGTCGAAAGAACTCCCAAGCCACGAATCTCTCCCCCTCTTCCCCTCCCGGTATTATCATATTACCGGCTGAAAGCATTTTGGGAGGCTGCCGTGGTTCTGGGCTGCGCAGCCCAGGGTGACCTCCAGGGAAATCCTCCTGTGGCTCCCCAGCCCCCTGCACACCGGGCTGGGGGCACAGGACATGGAGCTGCCCTCCCAGCAGATGGGACCACTGTGTCCCTCACCACTCCTGCCCTCCCTGGAAGTGCCTTCAGCCTCCTTCCCTCTGTGCCCGTCCTGGTTTTCCCTGTCAGATCCTCAAATGCACATTCAAAGCCATCTGAAAAAGAAAATTACCGGGTCTCCTTTGACTCCTTTGTCGCCTCTGTCACCTCTGGATCCCTGAAGAGAGATAACAGTAGAACAACAATCTAATTACTACCATTTCATGAAGAAACAAAAAATATTTCTCCTATACAATGTGTTAGTGATATCTTCAGAGTGAGGGATATTCTTCATTACTGATATCATAACAGAATTGATGCTAAGGACTGTAGGAAAAGGGACTCATTCTTCCCAGATAATTACTTTAAATATGTGCTTTCCTGGACATAATACTTTCAAATTTGATTTTTTTTTCCCCCAGTTGGCTTCTTTCCGCAGTTCAGATCCCACTGAAAGATCCTAGAGTACAAAGTGTCTCAGTGCCAAAGCATGTGGCACCTAACTAAACTAGACCAACAATTAAGGATTATTTTACCCTGAGGAACATGTAGTGAGTTTCACTGTAGTGACTTGTTCACATGGATACAGGGTGTAAAACTCACTTCTTCAGCACCCCAGCCCAAGCCACAAGGCTGTGCTCCTTCTCAATATGTGTTTTCATTTCTCAGTGGGACTTTTAGACTTCATCAAAATTCAACCTCATTTCTACAGTTGCATTTCTTTTTTAATGTGTTTCCAAATGTTAAATTATACATTATTCTGTTGTCACACTGACCTTTTCTCCTCTAGTTCCAGGAAAACCCTAAAGGGAATGATAGATATTTTAATGCTTCTCGCTTTCAAGATCACCCAAGAAGCCGGACTTTCAAACTTTGAAGTGAAGAAAAAGAACGAAGCACAAATAATTAATTGCATCAACACATAAAGGCAAATGAATATTTACAGCTCCTAAAGTTGCACTGAAACAGAACTATGAAATATGAATTAAAGGTGAAACAGCTCAGCCCAAAAGCCATTATGGAAAAGCCAGTTAAAGCCAGCAGCTTTGATTGTGCTTTGAAATTGAAACAAGTGAAATAAATTGTAACTGAGAGTAAATAAAGCATTAGAAGAGACAATTAATAATATAAAGTAATTTTAACAATAATCTTCCTCTTCTGATTTGTTTGGGTTTTTTTTTCCCCTGGAACATACTTTAGTTATCCTTAAATAGTCTAGTGTGATCATTAACATAAAACTCAGTTTCTCTTGAAGAAACATAAAAAAACCAAAGGTGTTCAGTTCCTCTTTCCAATCCTTTATTTGAATAAACTAATTGCATAATTTATTTCAAATGTCAGTACATATGCCTAGTTCTAGTAGGGGACCAAAATGATCTCCACCGTCTTATGAGGCAAGTGGAAAGCATTGCAGACATGATTTAATGCTGCAGATATGCTTAAGAACTCAATTCTTCCGGTAGGATACAATTATATCTGAGCTTGCTTTTAAAATAAATTGCAAACATTTATACCAAAGCATTTTTATGAAAAGCCAAAAACGCAGCCAAGCCCAAACAGACAACATAACCTTGCTTGATGTAGAGCATATTCTTTATCTGTATTAGAAACATATATCTTGATAAATGATTTCCAGAAAATTCATGAGGGAAGCAGCTATCAGCAGAACATTAGAAACCAATGTCTGAAAATGCAGTTTGGTTAACAAACCTTGGAGCCCATTGGTCCTCTTGTACCTGGCAATCCCATCACACCCAACTCTCCCTTTTCACCCTAAAGGGTTCAATAAAGAGAGTTATTGAATGCAGCTCTCCCATGAGGTCATATTTGAATGTCTGACAGTTCAGTGGTTCAGGTTTTATGTCAAATAGTTAAGCCTGACCTTGGTGTAGCATTGTGGACAGGGGTTTCTGTTGCAATTGTATTCCGCCTGAGCCCTCACATGTTATCTTACTCTTCTATTTGAATTTTCTTGTGTGGGTAACTTTTGTTTCAGTTTTCCCAGATGTTATTAAAGGTCATGCAAGCAAACAGCCTCAGTAGTGCATCCTTTTCTGCATGAAGGTGCATTGTCTCTACCCAGCATCACCTCCACTGAGCTGCAAAAAAGGAAGGCATTTTGCTGCTGCTTCACAGCTTGTGGGGGCACAGTGACTGGTTTTATTGTAGTGCTGAACAGTCACTTGGAGCCAGTAAATCATGAAAAAGTTTTACAACCACTTCTCTGGCTGGTGTCAATTAATCATATCTAGCATGAAATAGAGAGTAGACACCCAGACATGCAGCACTGCTACCAGCAGAATACATTTGGCTCTTACTCTTCTTTGGCTTTCACTGTCCCAGAAATTGAGAGGATTTCCCCATTCACTGTTGCCCCTGCAGAAGTTCAGACAAGACTTGAAGGAATGAAGTAGGAGAAATAGGGACTGAAGTAAGGCTGTGTCAACATAAGAGAAGACAGGAAGACCCAGCTGAAGAAATGGCAAATATCCACAGAGGTGGATATGAGTTTAAAAAAATGGAAACAGCAGTTTGCTGGAGATTTACAACAAGATGGGGATGCAGCAAATATCTATGGTGAAGAAGAATATTTTAAGTTGGTGAAGATCAGAGACGAGGAGAAAGGACAGACACAACCAACTGAAATTACCACAGAGATCTTCTGCACTGTATTCAAATGGAGCCTTCACTGACAGGCAGGAAAATGGAATTTATAAAGACCAGAAGAAATGAAACTGTGAACCTACCTAAAGAAGAGAGAAGACCAGTATCAGAAAAATCAACAAAATCAGAAGAATCCTCATCAGACAGCAAGAAGGACTTGTAGTTAAATTGTAGGAAAAAATATTACTTCTGAATATAAGGGATGTGATGGACTGTGAGTTAGGTCCGTGATGGAAAAGCACAGTAATAGACTAATCTAGACTAAGAGACTAAGACAAAGGAGATTAATCAAAATTAGGAAGAATACATAAATAAAACTAACGCCTATACAAGAAGAAGATGTGTATGAGTTTTCTGTCTGCTTTCCTCTCTTCCTTCACTAAGACTATGAAGGAAAGAGTTGATTGAACCTTTCCTGTAGCCTCTCTGCTCCTGCTGTGGGAAATCATAGCACACAATGTGTTTGTGGGGGGATCCATTTCCCATCTCACAGTTCAAAGTGAACATTGATTTCTTTTAAGCACATTGTGTCTTGCTGCTTGCCTACATTCCCACATACTTTAAAGATGTTCTTTAGCTAACATGGCTGGAAAGATCTTGAAAGTTTGCTTCCTAGATGTGGCTTAAATTCACAAGTCGTCTCCTACTATTCTTGCAGCATCAAGAGCTAATGCATCACATCCTCTGAGGTGGGGGCATCAACCTTCATAGAGCAAATGAAGAGTCAAAGGTGTACTGGAAAGAGCAGTTTAGTAGGCATTGTGTGCAGTCCTTTAGCCTAATGCATCCTGGATTGAAGAAAAGCAAGTTTTCTCAAAAGTCCCAGTAGAAGCTCCATAAAACACAGCTCCACAGCTGTTATACCTTTTGCATAAGCCAGTGCTTACTAAAGGACTATCCTGGAGAGTTTCTTATAACAATTGCAGGTGAAGCAGCCATTTTGCAGTAGCAAAGCACATCCTGTCATTTCTCCCGCTGTTGGTTAATAAAAAGAACAGGAATTAATGTTTGTTTGTATGGGAATGAACTTCAAAGATGTGACCAGCCATTATCGTGGTTTGTCATCTCTTTCCCTTGATATCAGCCTAATATCTTCCCTCCAATCACATGAGCTCACAGTACATCTTCAGGCAAAGGGATCCTCATAAAGAATAGTCATAACAATGGCAATCACTTTAGAAACACTGATTTGTGTGATTGTGAGACACCAGTGAGACATCAGTGAGTCTCCATTGTATTAATTTTCAGTTTCCCTTTGACATGTTAAATCCATGCAAGAAGTGCTACAGGGTCTGGACTGAAGGTAGAGTAACCTAACCCTAGACTCTACAGAGCAGTGTAAGAAAGGGGACAAGCACAGAGTGTCCTTGTACTGCTACAGCTTTTCAGCCTCCTGCAAGTAGCTGTTTAGAGATTTCCCAAGACAACGCTTTTGTTCAGATCGTGATGTTGAACAGTTTATTCCATGTGGATTTTAGTCTTACCTTCAGTCCCACAGGTCCAGGCCATCCTACAGGTCCTGGCATCCCAGGGACACCCGGGGGACCTGGTCTGCCCTTGAACGGAAACATTGATTACAATGATTCATAAAAACATCATTCCTACACAGGTCACTACTGCAGACAGGGGATAAAAAGACCTTTGTGTGCTTATATTCATACAAATCCAATTTATGTTGAAAGCAGAACCAAATCTTTAACTAACTATTCCTGTTTCTATGGTCCTTATTCTGAACATTCCTACATTGTTAGCTATAATTTCTCTTTATTAACTACTATATGACTACCAATAGCTACATATGTACATACAGTTATTTATCTGTTTTAATTGCTGCTTGTAAATCACTATTGGAATATCTCCTAAAATGCTTCAGATTAATGCTCTCCCACTGCATTACACTGCTTGACAATATGATCTCAGAAATGTCATCATGACATTCAGGGCCAAGAATGAACTCTCATGGGCCAGACAGCTTTTTACAAGAGTTGTGCAGCTTTATTTCCAACCTTAATGACTTCTCTTTCAGAAACTACTTGTATTTGTCAGAAGAGTAAGTGTTGATGTACTGTGTTTGAAGTTAAGCACTTTTTTGTAGGTTGGTGTGTTACTCTCTTGAAGACATTGCTGTTTTGAACTCCTGAATTTATATTAATAATATTTTTGTTTACTGTAGGGCATTTGAAAATAGATAAAAGAATTACCTCTTCTGTTTATATGTTTTATATTTATTTGAATTATTGATTCGTAGCTGGTGTTAAAATCCTTGGTATATTATTAGAAAGGTGTCAAAATCCTTGGTATATTATTAGAAGGGTACTTCTTTTCCTAGTTAGTGACCACCCCCTGCATATCTCCGATTTCATCCTGCATTTCTGTCTTCTTTAAAGTTAATTACATTAAATGGATGTACTTAGTGACTGAGGTAACATATTCTGTTTCATCACATGTAGGGGCACATATTTTTGACAATATATCACGGCTCATATGTCACCAAGCATAGGATTGTAGTCAACATATTGCATTGGTGCCAGAGCTCTGGAAGGGTAATCATTAATGGTTGTTCCTCCTTAGGGGTGTCTGGCTGAGCCTTGTTTAGACTTTGGAGGAGTAAAAAGTTTGATTTTGATTTGGGTTTTTTCTGGTACATCTTTTATAATAACTCACATAATCTGCTTCCCATTGTCCACACAATACTTCAGGTAATGTCCCATTCTTTGGCTTCTCTCCATGCATTTACTCGGGGAATTTGTCAAATTCAAGCCAGCTGGGGCAGCTTCCAGCCCTGCAGCCAGAGATCCCTTCCATCCACCCTGGGTAGCAGTGAGAGAAGCACTAACAGGCTAAACTTCAAAATTAGCTAAATTTTATGGAACTGTTGTCTGCACCCCTCTCTGGCACCTGCTGTTAAATATTGGATGGGTTTCTGAGACAGCACCTTTATTCATACCTTTCTTCCCGGCCTGCCAATCTCCCCCTGCCAGAGAAAGGAATATGTCAGTCTTGCAGTCACCACATGAAGCACAGTGGCTCTCAAATCAATGCATCAATGCATTTCTATTAAAAACAAACAAACATGCAAACCCACAAGCCGCTTCCCAAAAAACCAAATTATACTAAACAAAACACTGTGAATATCTGCATGCTCAAAACTGTGCTTACAGAGCTAAAATGAGAAGAATTACTGTATCAGAGCTCCTTGGTCTTTCCTGTGTTCCCAGCCCTAAATCTACAGTCAACTCCTTGTATAACAAATCACACAATTAGCTGCTCAGCTTCAGCTGGAAGACTCTTTAGGCACCATTATGGAACAAATCTTTGCACATCTGAAAACATAACTTTGCATGCAGGCCAGCTTTAGTACCTGAGCTGTCCCATACAATTCACACTGCATGGGAGAGCTCTGCTCCTCATGTTCTTCAGGAGGGACAGGGAGCTCAAAGGCCTTTGGGTCAGTGAGACTGCTGTGTTTTGAACCTGAGATGCTTTCTCAAAGCATACCCTAAACATAGGTCACAAAAGAAGACATAAAATATACTTCAAGACTGAAAATGAGCACAGAAACACTTAGTTTTCTACTATAGCTTCAAGACATTTCATAGCTTTACATTCAAACTAAATCTAAACCTTCCATTCATAAGGCCCACCATTCACTAAACGGACGAAGAAAAAAGTGAACACCCTCCCCTGCTTCTTTACTCCTCAAAACCACATCAAACTCCATAACAACAGACACTTACTTTCTCCCCTTTTGGTCCCATTATACCAGGAATTCCTTGTGGACCCTAGGGAAGAACATAAACTCTATTATTAAACTGCATTAGTGAGGTGCTTGTGTTCCATCAGCCCTAGACCCTGTATGTGTCTCCTGGGACCTGAGGTGTTTGGTGTTGTGTTTGAATGTGGCCTCTACACACCAGGTCTGTGCCACTGCTGAATAGCAGGATGGAGAGTTGGACTGACATGGGAAGGGGAGGGGAATCTCATAAAAGGGGAGAACCTGCAAGAAAAACAAGCCTGAGGCAAACAAAAGATGAGAAGTTATCAGAATCCTGAAGAATTAGCAACCAGGACATGGAGACACCACATCAGCTGGCAAAAGAGGTCAGCCCAAGGGAGGTAAGGGGAGTAGTATGAAACGTGGGATGGGCTCTGCAGGATGGGATGGACATGGAAGATTGCCACTATTTCTGGGCTCTGAAAATATTTCTCTCTGTCAAACAGGGCTGATTCTTCTTTCAGGAGATTTCTTAATCCAGGGAGACCTTCCACACCTTTCTCAGAAAAAAAGCCAGAAAACAGATTTGTTTCTAGAAGACTTTTGTTCACAGATCACTTTTTACTTTTGAATGACTAAGGAAAATAATCCCATGTGTGTGCATCAGAGAAGCATTAGATTCATTGTAAAAATCACTTACTCCATGTTTGGATCCTGCTCGTCTTATACTGTCCAAAATGTGGCCAAATTGTACATGAATAGGAGCAAAATCTAGCCTCAGACACAAATTACTCCAACTACTTTAGTCAGTAGAGTTATTTTAGGTTTTCAGTGGTGAAAATCAATGCACCCTATTAGAGTCGGAACCAAATTTTATCTTATTTATTGCTTTTTATCTTAGGATATACATGGGAGGAATTACACTCAAAGTTATACAAATTACAAATCTAATTCTCCTTCTTATGAAAGTTTATTAAAATTCAGCTATGAGTCAACAGTATGAGCTTTTGCAACTTGTCTGAAAGCCCTGCAAGCTACAGATGAATTCAGAAGTAATTACTAGATGTCTTTGTCATGGTAGTATTTCTTTGCAGGTGGCCATCATCACAAAAATATTTCCCAAAAGACTGCTGGTTCTAACATTGTCCCTGTACAAGGCACAGTCCTGTAATTTGTAATTAAAAATTCCAAAGCCATGTTGTACCCATCCTACTGTCTGCTGTTATGATAAAACCTGCCAGCCTGCTCTATTTAAAAATGTTCTTGGAGGCATCATAGGTCATTTGGTAGCAAGATTAATATTATTTATAGCAATGGACTTTGTAGAACAATAGAATTAAAATTACTTTCTTGCAATTTAAGTCAGAGAGACTATCAAGAGCATTTTTTTAAAGCCAGTCTAGCAAAGACTGAAATAACAAGTGTTTTTTTTATATGAACAGCAATTCTGGAACATGGCCAATCACACTGCAAGGCTGTTTCATAATGCAGAGAAGACTTTCTTCAAGACAGAATTAGGCAAACACTAGGCATCACTTCTGACCACACTTTTCCAGTCTCATGAACTAAATCAATCTTCCCCACCCTGCATCTCAGCAAAGACAAAATGGCAAAACAATAAAGACAAAGCTCATGGGGGGCTGGAACTAGATGGTCTCTTCCAACCCAAACCATTCTATGATTTTATAAAAGGACATTTTTGCTTTCGCCTTGAAATTTCTGGAGTCTCCAATTATCTCCTGCAGTACTGACTTATTTATAATTAAAGATAAGCTTTTTGCCACATAACTGACCCTTTACTTTGATGTGTTGTCCATACTTTTTAAATAGTGTTTGGGTGCTGCCAAAGCGTCAGACACAGCTTTGCTGAGCACAGGCTCTCAGCTGTGTCTGGCACCAAGGGGGCTTGAGGAAGATCATTGTCCCAAGGCACCAGGCACAGCACATATATTGGGACTGCCTGTACACTAGCAGGATGTGTCTCTCCATGAAAACTCTCAATTTTCTTTGGAGGGAACTGGAATGGAAAGGCAAATGGATGATCCTCTCAACAATACAGAGATGTTCATAAAAAACTTCCCTCTAGAGGTGGCTCATTTCCTCAGAAGAAGGCCAGATTGGATGGGATTCTGAGCAACCTGGTATAGTTGCATTGTCTGTTCATTGTAGGGATGTTGTACTTGTTGACCTTTAAAGGTCCCTTCCAACTTAAACTAGTATGTGACTCTAAGATTTCTGACCTTCCTCTGAAGATTTCTGAAAGAATGAATTGTAGAAAATGAGGTGTGAGTTCAAAAAGAATGGTCCGAGGTTATCCAGCAAGTCAGGGCAGAAATGTTGCAGATCAAGCTGGGAGACCCTACACCTCCTGAATCCCACCCCACTGCCCTGCTAAGCCTCTCCTCGTCCCTGACTTTACTGTAGATGTTTGTCTTCTCAGGGATGTACTCTGCTAACATCCCAGTCCATTTTTTACCTTGTGCATCCACTTCACAGGCTCTTGTCCTCACAAAAAAAAAAGAGAACAGAGTCTAAAGCAAAGAAAAAATTGACAAGAAGCATCTGAAGGAAGTGATGACACATGTGTGATTTTGGACGGGTGCTACCCGCTGTAAAACTCCACAGAAATGAAGAGTGAACTTGAAACAGAATGAAGTGTGTAAGGCAGGGATGAGAACACAGGGTAAAAAGCCTACATGATTTATGCAAAGTCATATCAAAATGAAATTTAGTCAGAGCTTGGCATGCTTATTGGGTGGTAAAAAGTGTTTTCACGTATTTCACAGCTTTGTAAGGACTTTAGTGCAAGTGAGAGAGTGATGTGGTTTCATCACATATGCATCACTCACCTGGGGGCCAGGAGGCCCTGCAGAACAGTGCAATTCAGGCAGAGAGGAAGCCTGTATTATCTGGAGCTCATGACACAACTCTTCCATATCCAGCTTCTATGAAACATCAAACATATGAGTGAACATGCGGCCACATGTAGCCTGTTGGAGAAATGCATAAAATTCCAGCCACCATAGACTACAGCCTCAAAAGAATTTATTTGCTCCCTTTGGGAGCAGTCTGGCTCTTGTCACAAGGTTATCTTCATGGATGCTTGAACATTAGCACTTCAGCATAGCCTCCTGCCCCATGCTTCCTTCCCCTCCTCCTCTTCCTCCTCCTCCTCTCTCAGAGGCACATTGCATCCAGGCTGCCCTCTGAGCCAGCGTGGGACCCTGGCCTATTCTTAGACCTGACCCTGCCCTCTCGTCCCACTTTGCCAGCAGCAGCTCCTCTCCAGGAATAGCATCTTTACTCTAAAAATAGAGACTTCATCCAGGCAGGCCCAGGCAGTGTGAACTTCGCTCCAGAAGATACTAACTCAGAGGCATTCATTCACTGCAGATCGGAGCCAGTGCCTTAAATGATCAATGAATGTCTCATCTTTTGACTTCAATATTAAGCTTTCATGAGTGAAATGCCTTATTTGTGTCCTGTGACAAAAGTGATCTCCCCTGGAAACACTGAGCCAGAAACACTGGACCAAAACAACAGATCTTCCGCTTCCAAGAGAAAGGCCATTTTCCAGTAAAGCTCTAATTACAGGCTCCAAAGAACAAATTACTCATGGTTTAGTTCTCATGGCTTGTAACTGCTTATTTTCATATCATGTTGTTATGGGGAGATGGTGTGAAGGGTGATTTTAGACTCAGATTACTCTCTAAGCTGCTTGAAGGAATCTCAGGAACCCTGCTCCTAGTCTCACTCTCAGTGAAGGAGTACACAGCATTCCTAAAGATATCTCATCTTTGGATCTCCTTTCTGTGGAAATCAAGGCACTGGCAGGGGAGGTGACAAGGAAGTATATTTTGGTCTGGAGAGAACAGCACCCTGAGCTCAATCCTGATCAATCTGAAGGCAATGGTGGATTTTTCACTATGCTTTTTCTTGGGTTACTTATACCCTGACATCTTACTAATAATTATTTACTATTTACATTGTTTACATTATTATTTATTAACATTATTATTTACATTTATTCTTACATTATTATTTACATTATTGTTATTCTTTATATTATTTACTATTTGAGCATCATTTACTTAGAATGCTAGCAATAATTGTAATGTTTGTATATAGTAAATGAATATGAAAATTAAGGAATAGGAATTACTGAATAGGTAGAAAAATTCTTTGTGCTAGGATGGAGAATATGTTGTAGTTAGCAGAACCTGCAGTAAGAGTACTTGGGTAAATTGCTATATCATATTCCCATTGTATCCTGCTTATGTCAGCATATGTGTATGGATGTGTATCACACATGGCAGGTTTGAGCATAGGTGTGAGTGGTATGCTGTGCATACCAGCATCTCAAACACATATGTGTTTCTGCAAAATGAAATGGTGGGGTATAGATTCCACAGGAGGACTTCAGGACCTTCATTTCACCTATTTAGATAAGGAAAACGTGATGTAGAACAGGACATATACATATACCCAGAAACCATTGTGCAGGATGGAAAATTGCCTTTCTGTCCTTACTGATTTACTGCATTGCTATTTCCTCTGGCTCAGGATTGCCTCACTCTAAGAAGATTTCCATATAGCACAAGGAAAATATTTTAAGTTAATTGAATTTACTGCAGGAACAAATCCAGCCACCATTCATTCCTTGATCCATTTGATATTTACTTCAAGCCCCAGTCTGGGATGCTGTTTGATTGTCCTCAGAGAGCCATAGCAGCACAGCCAGGCAGGTTTGCTGAGTGACACCATGAAGCAGTGCTTGAGAGGATGCTTCATTCTTTGTGATTAAACCTCATGCAAAAGAAGTAAAAGCCACACTTACAGTGCTCCAGCTGTGCCTGAAGTACGGTGGTGGGAACAGGGGTGGTGGAGGAGGGACAAGGAGGCAGCATACTCTGCAGTACTCCTTCTTCTGTTCCAAACAAGGGAGATCTGTTCAATACAAACACTCATCTGTGGTCTTGAACAGCAAGAGAAGTTGCCATTTCACAGTATTGCCCTACATCCTGTGTGCATTGATTACAATGCTGTAATCCAAGCAGGGATTTAAGAAACCTGGCAGACCCTTAAGTCTCTAAGTTCCTTTTTGTGCCAAAGGCTATGCAGAGTTCTAAGTTCTAAATGTGGCTCTGACAAAGGCAGAAACTCGAAAATTCCAGATTGTTGACATTAGAAAATGAATCAAGCATTTACTGTTTTCTCTACCCTTTGTTCCAAAAGTCTGTTACAAATAGCATCTTCTGGTCCCTGTTACAGCCCACTTGCCACAAAAAAGCACTCAGTGCTGTTGGCCATCACCCTGCCTGTGAACTGAATCACTTTAGGCACTTCTGTGCTAAGTGGGAAGTGCGAAGCTGTTCCACAACACATTTGCCTGTATTTCCTCTGGAACTGCAACCAGGTTGCTGTATTTCTGAATTGTGCATCATCCCTAAGAATAAACACCCCACAGCCCAAACTTAGTTGATAGCTTTGTCACTGACTGACTGGTGAGACAGGACCTCAGCTGTGTTTGGCAATGTATTTAATGTTTTCTGAGAGGTAATCTTCCATCAAAATATAAGGAGCTGTGACCGAAATTCACAAAGGAAGATATTAAGATGGTGCATTTATACACTGTATTTTTCCCCCCCGAATCATATTTACTTCCTGGGAAATGCATCCCTGATCAGAGGGACAGCCTTCTTCAAAGGTTTTCCCAAGAAGAGCAAATATTCATTTATGCCTGTTGGTTTCTTCCTCTAGCTAGTGGCAGCTGGAATGGGTGTCTGTGAATTGAAGTGTGGCAGGGAGCCAAGAAGAAAAGCCTATGGTGAAGTATCTGGTATTAATAGAAAATCTCTAAATTAAGTTTCTGGGAAGACAAACCTGATGAAATTGCTAGATTTGTGTGCAAATCAATTGCAGGCTGGATATTAGTCACATTTCAAGGTAAGGGAAGAATAGAGTTGCTAGTTTTTCAAATGTCTCAGAAAATATATTACCTCAGTTCCACCATCCCATCTTAATGGGGATGGCATTTTCTCAGTCCTCATGAACAGAAAAGAACTGTCCAGAGTAATGGGATTCAGCAGCATTCTGGTTAGTTCATGTCATCCTGATTTTTTTCTCTATTAAAACACTATTTGTGATGATATCTTTGAGACCTGAGTCAATTGAATTCTGGAAGAGTCCATAATGAAGACTTTTTCAGCTTTTTCTCACAAGTTTGAAACTCAGTCAAAAACTTCAGTTGAAGAGAAAGGCAGAAGATGTATAAAAGTAGGTATATTGTTTCCTTTAAAGCTTTAAATATGTACTGAAAATGCCAATGTCCTTTAAAAGGTAGCAGAAGTATGAGTCACCTGTCTCTAGTACTTACACGTAATAAAATAAAAAGATATGAAGAGTTAAGTTTTATATTGGCTTAATCTAAATTCAGTCACTCTTATGCAGCAGTAAACGTGTTTTTCAATTTTTAGCACACACCTTCTGTGCTTATCTGAGTTTCAAGACTGCATTTGAACATATTGCATTGGGACAAAATAGCACAGTATTAAGGTAATGGACAGCTTGTAAGTTAACAGGGTATAAAGTTTAGGCCATGTTCCAATATAATCTTTCTTAATATCATCTCATTTCATGGTCTAGTTAAAATTTCAGTGGGATTATTGTCATTCAACAAGAATAATAATATCAAAATCAACTAGCCTGATATGGTTTAGTTGCTAAGAGATCTCTACCAGCAACTCTTTTCCTGCAGAAAAAGGTGTACATTACTGTAGTTGCACTGCTACTTAAAAAAAAAAAAAAAAAAAAAAAAAAAAAAAAAAAAAAGGTGGTGTTCTTTAAATATTTTGGAAATACAAGATTAAATATAGATGTACAGCTATAGTTCTAATATGATACTTATCACAGCCTCATAAGTAAATTCCAGTCCTGGGTTATAAAAAATTTGGATTCTCCTTTTTCGAAGAAAAGCCTGAGAATCTGTGGAACAGCTTTATTGTGAAAAACACTATACTTAAGTGAGTTGGTAAAAAAAACCAACCTGATTTCAGTCTTTATGCTACTGTAACACAAGTTAGGTTGAAGCCCACTCTGAGTTTGCTGGTATGAACAATGATAGCATGTACTGATCTCAATGAGGAGACAAGCAAAATCTAAATACCGTAACAGTAATAGATACTTTTACTATAGATATTATCAGACATTATAACTAATAGATTCTATTCCTATAGATAGGTACTAAATTCTAATAGACACTATTATTATATACCAAGTAATTATATACCATTAATAGTAAAGATATTGCTATATAGGACAGGTATCAATTATGTAATGACTTGGATAGTTAATATTTCAGGGATCCATCAGTAACCCTGGCTCTGCTCTGGAAGGTGCATTTGTCAAGCAAATATTTAAGAAAATTAAATTCTAGACCCAAGAACCTTCCCCACTCAAGTATGACAGGGGATATGACAGCAGAAGGAGCAAAAAAACCAATGATTCACAAGGGGACTGCAGGCAGGACGGCTGTAATCTGATCTTCCAGTAAGTATCACATTTCTATGGTATGGATTTTGCCAGTAACTGCAAAAAGTCCAAGATGTACAACTATTACAGTATTGCCTCGGTTTATATCACAAAAGGGTTACCTTGGCAGGCTTACAGTCTCTTTGCAAATGCAATGCATATTTTTAGGCTCCAGGTTAGCTTTGTTTGCTAAACACAGCTTCAGAATACACCAGTCCCCATCAGTGGAAAAAATCTCAGCCCAAGAATAGGACTGTCATAGTTTTCTGTGAAATATGAAGACCCTGCCTACACGGAGCATGGGTTTACATATCTCATAAGGAAGCTGCTCTTTCAACAACTCCAATGCCAAAGAACATATTCAATAAGAAAAAAAAGGTCAAATTGAAAAAACCTTTTAGGACTTGTCCAAGAGTCAGTTGTTTTCAAGGAACATAAAAATTAAAATAATCACCTTTGAAGTGTAATGTATTTACATTCTCAGATTATTTTTATTTTTATTCCAGGTCTATAAATTAATCCAGTCCCAGAAAGTGACTTTATTAATCTATGGGTATATTGCCAAAGGTAGCTTTAGAAAACAACATACTTTAGATAAGCTGTGATGTTTCATTTTGCTGCTGCAGATTTCTTGCTGCCATAGCTGGAACTTGGGAACTCTTATTCAAGATGGTAGAACACAGAGCCAGAGAGAAGCCTTCACCCAGGCTGAGTCCCCTGGAGTGGGGCTCATATGAGGTCTATGAGGCCTCCTAGGGCCTAGAGGAAAGATTCCTAGAGGAATTTTTAACCTCAGAGCTGTAACAGAAATACCAGAGATATTCTGCTGGATTCAAGTCAGATTTACAAGATTTCATTGGAAAAAAATCATAAATAAACCATGAAAGTGACTTTCATCCTAAAATCACAAAGCTGTAGGCTGAATGCCAGGAGGGAAGGACAAGAAAGGAAAAGGATACTTAACATGTGTTTCCCTTCCTATTTATGACCACACTGATCCAGCAAGCCCTGATGGGAAGCCGAGCTATTATCCAAAGTCTCACCCTGACAGCAGGGCTGGTGGCTTGCCCAGCCTGTGACAGGCAGGGATCTGCTGGATGGAGCCCTCTGATGGCTGACACCCATCACAGATGCTTCTCCCACTCAGATGGCACTCCGAATTAATAACAAACCAGCTGGGCAGACCAGCCAGTTCATGAATGTGGGCTTGTCCAGCCGAAACTGAGCCTTTAATCTGCTTTGTTGTCATTCATTCAGGCTCCTCTCAGCCTCCTTGCAAGGACAGCAGAGCACCACATGCTGCAGCCACCCAGCTCCAATCTGGACATCCACTGCAAGCCACAAGGGCACATTTTCCTCTTCAGTTAGGAAAGCTTAAGAGCTTGTTAAAGGTGCCTTTATTTACAGAGCAGATGCAGGTATTAAGCCCTTCTTCAAAATGCCAAAGATAAGTGCCAGCATTAGCAATGTATGCTTCTTTAAAGTGTATTTTTCAAACTTTTTGACCCAAAGTGTGCTTTAAGAACATATAAGCAGAGATGAAAATACAGCTTGTTTTTGTAGCTGGGTTGAACAGTCAAGTTAGTGAATTTTCTGCATCTCTCAGTCCATTTTTGAACTTGAACCTTATAGTTGATGGCTGCAATATATCCTTTCCTATAAATCAGATTAAATATGCCAAAGAAACATATCAAGCTTAGGTAATGATGTCTGTGTGGAGGAGGTAGTGACCCATGAAATTCCCATGGGAGTTACAATATGAGACACAGAGATGCAGCTCTGCCCTGCTACTAGTTTCCTTTTACTTAAGGAAGAGTCTTTGCTTACTTCAGACTCTTTAAGAAACAGAGCAAAGCAGATCAGAAATTATTTCAATTAATTTTAGAACATGAAGAAATCCAGATGAAACCTTGCAAGTTTCTTTTAATAGAATCATAGCATTCTTTAGGCTGAAAAAGACCACTAAGTTCTAAATGTTAACCTAGCAAAGTCAAGAAAGCCTCATAAAAATTTGAAAGTGCCCCGTTTTTAATCTCTGCAGAACCACAGGCTATGGCAGCAGTACTTTGCCAGCGGATGCACACTCAGAAATTGTCATAAATAAATAAATAAATAAATATCTTTAAAAATCAGCCAGTGCTCCCAAAGCTTGACAACAGCACGATCCCTGGCACACTGCCTGGACAGCAGGCCTGGATATTCACCTGGCTACAGGAGCAAGGACACTCTGTCCTCCATCCCCACCTGACATTAAGCTCACGTCTCTCAGCAGCTCTGGCAGCATGGCTGGGGAGAGGGGTGGCTGCATCTCTGGGGCAGACCTAAAAAACACTGCAGACATGGCAAGATGTGGGAGAGCAAAGGGGCCTGTGGGATTTTTAAGCTAAGGAAAGGCCTTTTACTCCCTGTATGTAATA